ACATGCAAATTTAAGTAATTTGGCTTTTATTGAAGTCACTGTAACTGGGAAAAATTCAACAGTAGCCTGTAAAATATTTTTGTAAGTGTTCCTTTAAACCATGCAGCTGATTCTGAAAAAAATATCAGACAATGGTAAAAAGCAGTTGGTCTTGCATTTAATCACAACATCAACTTGCAGAAACCTATGACCTTTCAAACAAGGGACAGAAAAATTAGATATAGACAGTAAGAGATATATAGATATGCAACCAGGCTCAGTGCTTCCAAATGGAATTGAAAGGCAAATCTATTCTTTAATTCATAGCTACTGTCAAAGATAAGAAACTGAAGAATAGAAATACACTGAAAGAGCAAATCAATCAGCAATCCTGGATCAAAAATAGCAAAGATAAAAGCAAAGTAAAACAAAAGCTCTGCTAACTTAAAAAGGCAATACAAGACAGAAAGCAACAATTGCATTGGACAGAAGGTGAAAGGAAGATTAATAGACAACATAAAACCCAAAAGCAAACTCGGTAATGATGACAAAAATAACAGTAAAAGTGAAAAATAGTTATAGGAAAGTGTAAAACAAAAGGGTCTACTGCTCTAGCACAAACTGCATTGGAGTGCATGGACTGAACATATTTTCTCTTTCTGGTGGATGATTCTGATGGAATCATTAGCTTCCAAAATCCAAAACTATAGCTTCCTTAGACACCCAACTCAAATAGAAATTATACCTTTCATACTACTCAATGGATAATACATCCTAGAAAGTTAAAGAAATTTGTGTAGAAATTTGCATAAGAATTTAAATGGGACTTATATCAGAAATTCCTCACCCTTCAAAGGGCGGTGCCTGGGAATTCCAAACATTTCTATTTGCTTCCTGCCCAAGAGCTGCCATTTCTATGGCCCAGCTGCTAAACCCTCAGCAGACTGTGTATGCTGTGCCTTTCTAGTGAAGCATCTTTCAGGTAATTATGATTTGAACCTTTGGTGTTTTGGTCAACTTTGAAGATGGGAGAGAGGGAATTAATGTCTACAAGGACTTGTAATTTTTGAAGTAAAAGTCTGTTTTAATTAATAAAGAGATAACTATGTATTCTCCCTGGTAATTTTCTTTTTTTACTTTGTCTAACAGCATTAGACCAGCATGTATGGGAAATTAAAAATCATATGCTCCTGAATATATATAAGTGAATGTATTATCTCTCAAATTTACAGAGGAAACAAGACCACTCCGGTAAAACAGTTTGAGCATACAATTATAATGGAACTGCTTGTTACATGGGTGGTAAATATCTCCAAGTCCTCTTTTGCATCCAGCTTAAACAAATTGTTCTGCCAACATGCCTAGAAAGAAATATATCTGTGTGTCTCAAGGCATCTTTTACAGATACCATCTACAAGACAAGTGATGCTAAATAATGATGCTTGCAAATCACATGCTGACAGTTTTTATTACAAAACTTGATAAAGCATTTAGTGATATTCAGTAGCACGAGACCTAAATTTCATATAACAGTATGCCTCTTTTACAGTGTATTCAGGTGAACAAATTGTTTGTTTTACTAGACAGACATCACACACTTCTGTAAAGAGAGGATGTAAAACAAGAATAGATGGTAAAAATAATTGTGACTTTCCAAGTATGGACAAACAGCAGCTGTAAAAATCAGTAATATTCAAAGAGAGAGGAGAGATCAAATGAGATTGAATACCATCCTTATCAACACCATCAAGTCAATTGCCCAAGTATCTCTGTATCCTGCATATTTTACCCTAACTTCCACCACATTTTCCAGAACATTGTGCTTCAACACTGCCACCTTTACACTAACACCTGGTGACCCCACAGTGCTACCCTGACTTCTTAGGAAATGGGGATTTGTCCACATCTGCCCAAACATGACTAAGAAGCAGCAGAGAGCAGAGAATTGCTCACTTCTACCTCCCAACAGCACACACACATCTGACCACAACAACCCTGAGTTTTTCCTAAGCCTATTGCTAACAGGTCACATTCCTGGAAGGGACAAGTTGGTTGGTTTTTATTTAAGAGACAATTCAAAGCACACACACACAAATAAATAAATAAATACATTATTATTGCTGTTTTTAAAAGTAACTTACACCTTCACTGAAAGAAAATCACAAAAATGAAACACTTTTCATGGATGTAAGTTGTGTGCACCCAGGTTTTCTGCACATTAATGTTTGGGGCTACAGATAATGATTATAAATTGTATCCATCCCTAGACAGCCATTCCAAAGTGCATGTCTGAAGAATAATCTCTAGTAAGGAATAAGCAGCCAGTCGGTTATTCACCTTTAAGGCATGTTTGTGAGATAAAAGGTGTGTTAACTTACGCTGAAGCACACACTGTCTTGTTGGCTCTAGAACTGTAATTTCCTAGAAAAGTGTTAGGCAGTCTCTGTTAGATGAGATAATGCCTTTGGAGTATCTACTGGAAAAGCCCTTGATTCATTTACCAATGAATCAAAACTACAAACCACAACAGCATATTTATTTGATGCTTTGGGAAAGAGACAAATGAATTAATAGCTTGCTCCCAGCCCCTTCCATGCAAAAAACAAGATTTTGTTCTAATAATAAGTCCCTTTTCATGCTGGGTTCTTGTCTAATCTAAGATGATATTAATTGAATCTCTTCAGCCAACACTTGCTCTACACTGGTTTCCTACCACTCCAGCAAAGCATGGATTAAGTGATGCCTGTGAAGGGAGTGCATAGCCTGGGGGAAGAAGAATGATGGGCAGAGATGCACATATTGCTCACTTCAAGCCCTATGCTTACATATTTTTTAAAATTAGAAAAGACACTTTACAGAAAATATACCACTGGGAATACTGAAAGAAGGTTTAAATCATTATGGAGTACACAAAAGGGAAAGACTTCTGTGAGGCAAGGGCTGACAAACTAATAAGAAAATTCAGCTACAAGCACCAGAGGCTCTTGCTCTCTGTTTTGGGACAGGAAGAAATATAGATCTGCATGAGCAAGGGACAGATTTACAAAATACTCCTTGGGAAAGTTTGACTTAAAACACTTTACTTTATATAGAAGCTGGCTGAGAGTGTGCATACAATTCCTCAATGTGACCCAGCTTACATATAGAATTTACTGTGCCAAGCAGCAAGATTTCTTGCAGTCATAATGAACATTTTTTCATATGCATGTCACATGAAAACCATCACTGCTGGGTTATGCAAAACTCTTGTTAGTGAAATCCTTAAAGAAAAAAACCCAACACAAACCCATAACCCTAATGAAAAAAATAGAATTCCTTCCATGACAGAGAGTCATTAGACGAGGTATTTCAAACCTTTCTGAATACTTACTGCAGGCAATTGTTACTACTTCAACAAAAAGAAGAAACATCTGATAAAAATTTATCCAGTCCTATAGTTAAGCTGCTTCCCAAGGAATCTGTATATTATAGAATAGCTTGCAGAAGATTATGCCACTTTTAAATTCATCCATTAGCCTACACTAATTAAATGTGTAGTTTTAAAAATTTTAATAGCTGCTGTTATTTCACTATTTGTATACACAAATATATACCTCAATTGCATTCTATGGCAGCCAAGGGCTTTGCATTTATTAAATTCTCTAACACATTTATTAAAACCTCTACCACAGGCTTTGCTATTCTACCAAAGTCTTAGCTATCTATTAAAATTATATCCACCCATTCTCAGGCTGTGCAGCAAGAAAGTGCCTGATATGGCTGGTGATCATGAGCAGTTCATGCCAATTCAGCACAAAGCATATCAAATCTCAGGCTCTCTTGTGAAGGGCTGGACTCATCTTTCTGTTCTGCCACTGAAACCAGCAGCATAAAACAGATGGTTTGGTCATTTCCTGAGGCAGCACTGCTAAAGGGTTGTGGCCAAAGGAAAAGAATCAAAGAGAAAAAAATGCAGAGATTTTAATTGATTAAAAGTTCCATGTAATTCCAAGAACTGCTGATAAAATTTCCTTTCTAATTTTTCACTTTTAGAGGGAAAGACGCACATTTCTTTTCCCCTGAGAACAGTCACAAACATTAGCAAGCAACCCCTTTAGGCCTTAAGTCTCTCCATCTCAGCAAGATGCTGAAATAATCAGGAACTAATTTCATCCATCTTTTCCACACAGGCTACAGTAATTCTATTTGTGCCAGACCTCCCCAACACCATTCCTTTCCAAAACAACAGCATACGTGGTTTCACAGCTTTAGGCTGTAATTGTTCACATTTCCTAAAATTTATTAATGTGGAAATAGCATTTTCCCCTTTCCTTTTTGACCCTGTAACTCACTAAAGGCTCTTACTCAGCAAAATATTTCCAGCCTCTGCAGCATAAACTGTGTTTTTTGATTTACCAGGTACTTGATTGTTGCATGCCTACTCCATCAGCTGCTGCACTGGCTAACCCAGCACTCTGCAAGGCTTCTCCTGCTCTGCTGCTGCAGCTCAGTGAGCTCCAGAACACCCTGATTACACTCCAAAATTGTACCAAATTTAAAATAGAAAACCACACGATGCATCAGGATCTGTTAGTCATTCCCTTTAAAGCTCTACCATGCCATTAAAAACTAAAGAACCAAATGTGAATTAACTTATTTTAGGAATTCTCTATTAACATAACAAAAATGATGGTCCTACTGATATCAACCTCCTTCCACATGAGAACTTTGATACTACAAATCTCTTTTGCATAATGCATTCTTAAATTTCTTCATCCTCTGTGGAAAAAACTCCACAACTCATTTTAAACCATGTTACCTTACAGTTTATGAAAGATTTCTGCAATGTAACATACCTAGGACTGCTGGTATTGAATAACCTTTGTAAAAAATGTTTACCTAAAGTAATTATTTTTAGCATCATATTCTTACTTACAACTATAGAAACTTAAGTTTATTATTTTTCTACTTAATGTCTGCATACTTTATTTTGACATAAATTTTTAGCATGTGATAGACTAAGTTGAATACAATAATCTTACCTGCCACTTCTCTGAAGTGCAAATATGATGCCCTTTTCTTGAAAAGGAAGCAGCTTCCTTCTCAGTCTTTCAGGCAGGAAGGACAGCTTAGCATCAACATCCTCTAACTGAGAGGCTTCGAGTGAAGGTGTTTCCTGGAGAGCACTGGTCATGCTGAACCAGAGAGAAACAAAAGAGAAAGAAGATATCTTACCTACATGGCAGAATAGAGGATAAAGCTTGATGGAATAATCAATATCTACACAACATTCCTTGAGTTTTGAGACTTGTCTCTGGAAAGCATAAAGTTGTGCAGATGTTGGAGGAAGAGTCCCTCACCTCAGTATCCATAAAATATTCTAACTATTCCAGGAGGAAGAGGGCAGCATGTGTCTCTTCCTTTACACTATGAAATAATTACTGTAGCAAATACCTTATTCATGAAAGGAAGTTATTTGCCATTCAAATTGAGCTTACTCATGGACACTGAAATATAACTCTTCTAGTAACATTTTGCAGAAGAGTTCCAGGAAAAAAAAAATATTACTTAACTTCTGATGATGGAACTAACAGTCCTTTAAATTTTCAACCCTAAAAAGTTAAATCAGAAAAAAAGGAGAAAATATGCCCACTTAGGGGGAAGTGGAAAAAAAGAAGAAAAATAAAAGAAAAAATAGTTAAGAACTTTATTTCCCTAAGCAAGAAACAATCTTAAACCACAAAACTAATCAATAAAAATTCTCATAGTGTGCTTAAAGATGAAAAATGTGGATTCTTCATTCATTTTTGTTCAAGGGACAGTGTCAGAGCAGAAATACTCACTTTTGCTCTCTTTTAGCTTCAAGAGACTTAAAGCAAACAACAGCTCATATAGCTCAGTAGCAGTGCACTAACTGAACACAAAGAAAGATACAAACCTTTGCATCAAAATAGTACCTAATTATTTTGTATTCATGGCCTGTGTCAGGAGCAGGATTACCACAGGAACAAAGAATGTCACCCAAAATAGGCTGCCTGGACCATTAGCAGCACCACCAGGTTTGACAGCAAAATTCTGAACTTGGAGCACTCGAGTTTTTTGATAGTGACCTATTTCTGAAGCAATCTGGAGGAAGTCAGATGTGATGTAAGGCATGAGCTATCATACTGCCAAGAGGGATGTGCTGAGCTCTGTGGTCACTCACACCAAGGACCCACAGTAACCTGCTTTTTGACACTCCCTGCTTACAAGGTGAGACAGACCTGGGAACAGTGTAAATGGTTGAAGTAAGCAGTATTAGAAAATAGGATCAGCAGTTTGTAACACATTCCTTCCATGGAGTCCAGGTGAGGAGGCAGAACAGGCAGATGGATTCAGGTGAAACCACAGCCACAGTGAAAGGACTGCACCTCTGTTCCTAAGGAATTCTGCTTATGAAGCTTTGGCTACAAAACCTGGTGCACACTATTCTGACGTGCTGTGGGATCACTGAGCCCCCTGCTCTGAATGCCTCACAGGCAATACTGTCTTAAAATCAAGGAGATATAAAGGAAAAGAACAGAGGACTAGAAAGCACAGCAAATATAAATTATCAGGAACTTGTCACATCTGGAGGAAAAAAAAAAGTAGCTGTCAGTAACACTGTCAGGGAAAGGACAGAGAACAGGAACTGAATGTTCTGAAAATCCACAAAACTCTTGTGCAATTCCAGAAAAATTAGGATTTTGGGGGATCTGTCAGTGCCATTGCTAGTCAGGCTAATGACATTTAGGCAGAGAGAAAATGATTAAGTACTTTTTTGGTTACAGGATGAATTACAGGCACATCTACCAGGATACACATCAGGCATTCAGGGAAATTAAAAGAAAATGCTGTGGATGAGCCTCCAGGCCAGTTCCATGATATTCTCATTGTGGAAGAACTGAACAGGGAAACACTGGAACTTCCAGGCATTCCTTCTTGGGCCTCCACTACCACTTCTACAAAGAAGGGATGTTCAACCACGACCATGCTGACATACCATTCTGCTGGGCAATGAGGAAAGAATAGTGAATTTAAATGTATAAAACTGATCAACACACAAGTGTTGGGACATGAGCATTGCATTGACCGTGGCAAATTTTTCCCCTGTTTTTCAAAGTGGAATCTTTGGTACAGCTTTTCAGAAACAATATTCCTATTCCTTGGGCCTCTGGAACACTCAGCAGCAGATACAAGTACTGTGATGAGTACCAGGCTCTTTCATGCATGTCCACCACAGAGCTTTGCTTAACAGAAGATGGAAAGCCCCTCTGTGCCCAAGACAAGCATTTCCCAGAAAAAAATTCATAAAGCTTCAATAAATAAATACCTGCTTCCACTCTCACTTGTGCAAACATAAATGTTTCAATTCTAAATGTTGGGAAAATAACAATAATCACTTCAGTACTATCACAACATTTTCCACTGCATATTTTTTTCCTTTAAAAATTAATTAAGGTATGATACTTAAGACTGCTGGCAAACAAACAAAAATTAATTCTTTTTGTAGAGCCAAACATCAACAATGCTGCAGGATTTGTGGGCCCAACAAAGCTGTTCAACACTCAGTTCTGACATTCACCTCTGAAGAAATTTGTGACTCATTTTCTCTGATAATTTTCCATTCTATAAATGCAGAGATAATGATGTACTTGTGATCAGCCCCCTATATAGCTTGTTGTGAGTGACAATATGAGAATTAAATGTTAACATAATTAACTTTCTGTTGAACAAGATCATGACAAGATCCTTTCACTGAAACACTGAAAATGAACCATGCAGTTTCAGAAGCATAGATCTGAATTACAGGAGGCACATGAGTCATCAGTATATAGCAATATACCCTGAAAAATGTTTCTGCATCAGTCATTGACAAGGTTAAAACTGACTTTGCAGATCTTAGAAAGCAGCAAAACAGAAAACACTAACTTCCAGATATGTACCAGTTTGTGTTTAGTTTTTATTCCAGGTGAATGACTGGATAAATGAATGGTGAATAATTAGAGACTAGGTGAATAATTAAAGAACTCCACATGTGGTGAACAATGGCTATTAAAACATATACAATGATTGTGGCAGTGGTGATCATGTATGTTCTGAAACAGAGTACTTATGTACACACTGTAATAATATCAAGAAATAAAATAATCTGTTTAAAAAAGAATTTAGTCAGTGTAGCAGAAGACCAGTTTGTATCCGTTGTTCTAGTCACTGCAGATTTAGAAGATGTAATGGGAGAAAGACCAGTGCATGTATTCTCTAACTACAACTTTTCACAATTTTTTCTGTGTCCTTAATGTGCTGTAATACAGATCACATCGACCTTCCCACATCCCCAGATCACCAGTTCTGCAGCTTCATTTTTTTTCAGACAAAACAGACCTAAAAGGTTTTGTGTGGAGACCTAGCTTTTCATTCAGAGACTTCATTCAGCTGCACAAGCTTCACTAGTTAAAAAACTCAAACTCTAGAGTATTTAATCAAATGTTTTCACGGAAATCAGGGATGAAATAGTTGAATTACTAAACTCAGTAACTATTAATCTAAAATTGCTTAAGTATCTCAGGACTAGATATTGATAAACGACCCCAGCTTTTAAAAGGGATGAGGAAGATTCATGGATCTATAATGTGATTCATTCATTGGGCATACAAAACCCAGTAAAAATTATGAAGTGCAGAACCCATAAACCCCGGGATAAATGATTTTATTTGGTGGGAGTCACCATCTGTTTTGTAAAAGTGATTCCCATTTTTCCACTCTGATGAAGTTTTTCTGAAAGGGCTCTACAACAATGTATTTATAAACTATCCAATGCAGTTCAATTCCCACTGCTTTTCAAAACTGAATTAAAACAGTAACTTTTATAAACATATTTGTACAGTAACTATAATTTCCAGGAAAACTTTTGAAAATGTCTCTCAAATTTTCAAAAAAGCCAAGCTGCCATATAAAAAATATTGCACTGAAACTTTTTTTAAATTCAAGCAAGTAAACAGTTCATGCATGAGAGAAACAACATCAGCAGTATTTCCAAGTAATCTGCTCCAACGTCTATCATGTTCAATCAATCATAAATCATCTGGAAAAGCAAGTAGCTACTGAGGGATAAGGACAATGCAAACAATAAAATAAAATTTGAAAAAACCCAATGTTGAATTTCTTTCTAATCACTGGTACTGCTATACTGCATTTCACTATAGGCCCTTATCCTTCCAGAGGCAGCAACTGAGACCCAGCTTGTTGAGGATATTACCCCTGGGGCTGTATATTGGAAAGACTGGTGCAAAACTGATGACAAGTTCAAGGACAACTTTTAAGTTTTCCAAAAGCTGTTTGTCAACACAAGCTGATTACATAATTTAAACCCACTGCTTATTTTTACAGGCCACTAAGTATAGCCCTTTAATGCAGCTCAGCAGCACATGTCTAAGACAAATCAGTCTTTTCACTAAGGGTTTTGCTTCATAAATTTCCTCTTGATGGACTTAACTGCTCCATGACTGCATGTTCAATAAAACGTAATAGGGAATTCAAGGCTCTAAGAACATCTTGGCTGATTGATTAATCAACTGTTTCACAGAATCACAGAATTGTTTGGGTTAGAATGGACCTCTGGAGATCATCCAAACCCCCTGCCAAGGCAGGGTCACCTGGAGCAGGTGACACAGGAATGCATCCAGGTGGCTTTGGAATGTCTCCAGAGAGGGAAAATCCATGAGCTCCCTGGGCAGCTGTTCCAGTGCTCTGCCATCTCACTAAAGAAGTCCTCCCTCATGCTGAGGTGGAACTTCTGTCTCATTTTATGGCCGTTGCTCCTCATCCTTCTGATGGGCATCATTGCAAACAGTCTGTCACCATCCTACTGGCATCTGTCTTTGAGATATTAATGTGCATTAATGAGATCCCCTCTCAGTCTTGTCTTCTCCAGACTAAGCAGGAGAAGACTAAACATCTCCCAGACTAAACATCTCCCCGTAAGATGCTCCAGACCCCTCATCACCTTGTGGCCCCCGCTGGACTCTCTCTAGCAGCTCCTGTCTTTTTTGCTCTGAGAAGCCACCAGTGGGATAACATAGAACTGAAAGTCTATTCATCAGTACACAGCATCTTAAAGAACACTACACGAGAAAGCAATCAGACGGAGCAAAGGACACCACACAGTTCTTGAGCAGAGAACAGTTTTTCCACAGGCCGCTGTACCGTGCTAGAGGGAAGCGCACACCTCAACACCTGCCTGGGGGCAAGTTTTTTATTTTACTTACGCAAGTCCCTGCAGCTGCAATCGCAGGAATACCTGAGCGCACAATGCAACGAGGCAGCAGGAGGAACCGCAAGAAGTGAAACCTGTGACAAACACGGGCTGGGGACAAGCAGCAGTCACCTGGCAGCTGGTCCCACTCCGGGCAGCCCTCACGGCCGCGGGCTCCGCGCTCGAACGGCCGCCGGGAAGTGACGCATGACCAGAGGTCACGGACGGGAAGCGCTTTTGGGCCCGGGGACCGCTTTTTCCTTATTTTTTTCTGCCTTTTCTCCACCCTTCTTGCCCCTGGCCCCGCTTCCGCAGGAGCGAGTTAAAAATCATCTTCCCGCCGGGCCGTGCCTTGTGCTGGACCCTGATCCGCTGGGGCGGGCGGGCTGAGGGAGCCGGAGGGGCGGGAAGGAGGAAGCGGAGCTGGGAACGGAGGGAAGGCGAGGATGGTGCTCTAAGGGCCGGGCTGGACGGGGCAGTGCCGCCAGCTCTCGGGGTTGGGAAGAACGATGAAGCCCAGAACGGGGCGAGGAGCCGGGGGAGCGAGAGGTTGCGCGGACAAGCCCCGACTACAGATCCCAGCCTGCCCCGCCAGCGTGCGGGCGCCGTGCGGCTGCAGGAGCGCTGGCGCGGGGACCCAGCGGAACCGGGGAGGTGCTGCTCGGGATACACCTCAGGCCCGGGACCAGGGGAGAAGCGCGGGTGAAGGGAAATCGGCCAGAGCACGGAGCGAAGGCCGCTCAGACCCCGCACTGCCACAGCCGCGGGATCGCTCCGTGTGCCCGCGGCCATGGGCTGCACGCAGGGGGCGGGCCTTGTGGTGCCGGTGCGCCGCTCCTACTGGTGCTCGCGTTTGTCTGTCAAGGCGGCCGTGCCCTCCGATTGGCCGCCGCCTTCCGGGCGGGCTCGGCTTCGCGTAAGCGCCGAGCGGCACCACTCCGCGGCAGCGCCGGGGGGAGGGCGCCGCGACGTTTATTTGTCGGAGGGGCTGTCCATCAGTAGCGTCCCGCGCAGCCATTGGTGGCAACAGCCCGGGGGCGGGGCCTCTCTCCCCGCCGCGGCAGCAGCAGCAGGAGGAACCCGAGCGGCGCTCGGCGCTGGGCTCGGCGCCCCTCGTGTGTGAGCAGCCGCCACCCGCCGGGCGCGGTGTCCCGGGAAGGAGCCCGGGTACGAGCCCGGGAAGGAGCGCTCCGCCCCGGTGAGGAGCCGGGGAAGGCGCTCCGGCGGGCGGGGGTCGCAGTGCGCTGAGGGAGGAGGGGGGGCCGCGCCCGCAGTGCGCAGCGCGGGGGCAGCGCTGAGGGAGGGGGAGCGCGGCCGCGGGGCTGGGGGTGCAGCCCGGCCGGGGGTCACGGTCCGGCGGGGCCAGCCCGGCCCTTCCCCTTCCCTAATATAGCCAGGGCTGGCTGGAGTGAGACGCAGGGCTCTTCGTCTATTATGTTTTTATTTTCTTAAAATTTCTGCCGCGCGTTGGATAATTTTGCATGTGGGTATATCTGTCATGTTGTGGTGTAAAGTGTAAGTGGACTTGAGAGCAAACTACGTCACGGCCTGGTTTTTTCCATCTCTTTATAATACGTTTTAAAATGAGTTTTCAGCACCGAAGAAGGATTCACTTTATGAGGAAGATGGAACGAGATAGAAAAAGAATTATTCAAATTATTCACGTGAAGAGATTTGCAGACAACCTACATGTTGATGGATTTGTGTGATGTCCATAGAAAGCTGGATTAGGAGGTGATGGAAAAAAAACCAAAAAGAGTGGTGCACCCTTTGCTTAGGGTGCATTGCCACATAGTACAGTCTGCCTTAATAACAAACACTTAATGTTTGTTATCTTGGTGTGGTTTTGCTAATAGTCTTTAATTTTAAATTTTGATGCCCCCTTCTGAAACCAAAGAGATCTTATGTGCCCAAAGCAGAATAGGGAACGTGTTGTGTTTTTTCTCTTGCAGTGTCTGCCACTGGCCTTTTCCCATTGAGTTATTAACCTGCAATTTTTAATGGGGTTGCTTTCTCATGTCTTGTCTTCCACAAGGAGTAATGTATTTGAGACATGCTCTTTGGCTGAATATTAAGCAGCAGTTTTACAGGGCAGTATGTCTTGTGAATGTTAGATTAGGAATATATGTTTACTGTTGAGGTGAAAGGTAAATTGATGTTCTGATTATTTTTCAAAATGTTTTTTTCAAATAATTTGCTATTCAGGAGAAAGAAATGGCAATGGAAACACATTTTCTTTGACGGTCTTCCATTGGCTTGGCATGCAGCTGATATTAAGCCTTTGTTTTGCAGTAAGTACTGTGATGTGAAGGGTTTGAGTATTTTGTAGAAATTAAGTCATTTATTGCTTGTACTCCTCAATTTACTGAAATCCCAATGGCAAAAATAATGTTAAGGCTCATGTCCATTTAAATCTTGGAAGATCAAAAATGTAGTAATTGTAACTGCACTTCTTGGCCACTTTTTATTTTAGAAAACTCTAACTTGCTATCAAGATCAACTAGTATTTTTCTTGTGAGTAAAAACAGATTTGACTAAATAAAAGTAATTTTGAGGGGTGTGCAGTCTACCGGATTAGGTTTGTCAGCAGCGCTCCAGAAACTATTTCTTAAAGATTTGGGAAGGGTCAGTCACTAAATTTGCTGCAGTAGTTGTCTGTTTGTATTTTAATTTTTTGTGTCTGTTAAGAGGAATAAAGGAAAAGTTGAGGAGAAAGAGCAAAGTAGTAGTACCATTCTCCTCTTAAACACAATTCTGCCTCTGCCTTTTTTCTTCTTTTAACTTAGGTTAAGTTTTTTGCTTTAGTTTCTTCTCCTATTTCAGTATATTTACCTTGCACTATAGGCTGTATTTTGTATTGCTTGGTTAAAGTCTGTCCGTGAAACTGCTTCAAACCAGCAGAATGGTTTAGGACAAGTACTCTGGGCTCAGCTCTGGGTACAACGCAAATGCCGTGGGTTTGGGGTTTACTTAAAAGTCAGTTTGCTGCAGTGGCCTCTATTAATTCAACTTCATGTCTTTGTATCGCCATTTTCACAAATCTACTTCTCCCCAGAGTTAATTTGACTAAGAGATGTAGCAACCACATCTTTTAAATTACCTTTATGTGTTTAAAGTTTCAAGGTACTGTATTCCAGGCTTTTAAAAGTAACTGATACAGTTGCTTTTTTTTTTTTTTTTTGACACTTTGGGGAAAATCGGTTATTTGACACATTGTTCTCTGAGTCGGCGGGTAAAGGAGCAACATAAACTTTGTATTGGCTAACACGTGGCATACAGTCCATTTTATAAAAATCTTTTCAATATATTGACAGATTCGGTGAGCTAGACGACTATGCTCTAACTTTTACTACCTGGATGAAAATATGAACCACCTTGAACATCCTGATTAGCTGTAATGATTTGCATCTGAAATTTTTCAGCGTGCTTGACTTCTCATTTCAAAGATACGAAGAGAGTTAAGCAGCAGCCTGTAAATACGAAGTGCTGTAATTCATGAGTGTGACAGCTAAGGAGCTTTCGATAGGAATGGGGGAGTATCTGTAATCCTGGCATCACTGGGCTCAAGGGCTGCAGAGGTGTTGAGCCCAGTCAGGCTTTTAGTGGCAGTTTTCCCGTGTCCATCCCACCTAAGGAATGACTCAGGGGGTTTTGTTAAGCTGCATTCCACATGGAACCTTTTAGTGATGGAAAGAGGAGTCGTTTGGCAGTGCAAGACCTGAATAATGAGGTCGTTCACACCGTATTCTTTAGGGGAGAAGAATCAATGGGAGTGCCTCGCTGTGGTGCTTACTCTGGCTGATAGGTAGTATCTGTGCCATTAAAATTGGGGTGGCTATGTTGTTCTTGGTGTATCCTCCTTCACTTTTCTTTGACGTGGTGGACCAATGTGCTGTATAACAATGGCAGGAGATTTTGGAAAGCAGTGTTGGAAAGCTCTTTCTGGGAGGTGGTAAGTCAGCAACGGATTATGATTAAATATTGTTGGGAAAATAGCACTTTGGGCCTGCCTGTAATCTTATTTCGATTTCATAACTTGTTGAAGGAGTGTTTTAGAAGAAATAATGTCTGGAAACAGATTTATGAAGGGCAGCAGCCTTAATTACAGAACAGTCTGCACTGCTACTCCTGTGCATAAGTTAGTCTCCTGCAGTTTAATATATGTATTATGAGAATCCTGTCAACGTGTCATTTTTTGATATGCGCTTTTCTCCAATCTATAGAATTATGCTTCCAAAAATATTTGGTTATTGCTTGTTCAGATCCAGTCTGCTGAAGCAAAGTGTAGATTTGGGATGGCTGTGGGATGCTTATTTCAGGGTTTCTTTTCTACTCCTTATCTTGGATCTCTGTAAGGAAATGGGACATTACCTCTGAGCAGCCATTGGTTTCTGCATAAACAGTTATATACTACATTGTTCACCTGTCTTTTTTCATCTGCTGCTGAATTTTTGTTCTTTACTCCCCTTCCCAACATCAGTTCTTATTATTCTTTAATTTGTAACTTGAATTTGTGTGTAAAATGGAATTCTGTCCCTTATTTAGCACTCTTAACTTTTCTGCCCCCTCTTCAGGTTTTTTAGCAAGTGTGCCCTGCCGTGTATGAAAGATCTTTCTCCAGTTTTGTATAGAATGGTCTGAAGGCTGAAGCTTGTCAGGACAAGTGCCATAAATATATTTAAAGCTGTGACTACATAGCATAGCAGAGTTGTTCCTTCGTTTTGAAAGTATAGTTTTGGGTAGCTTGCATCTCTGAGCCAAAAACTAACCTCTAAAAGACATAAAGATAGAAGATAGCATCCTTGCATTTGGTTTAGCAAAAATCCAGTCCTGAGTTTTGTACTTTTCTAGAAAATGTTCCATATAATTGGTTAGCACTTAACCTACCACAGTCGTTGAAAGAATTGTTCCCAGCAAAGTGAGGTGTGATACTTTGCTGTAGGTAAAGCATTTTAATTTATGTTAAGTGAAGCAAGACATAAATAGATGCAGTCCTTGCAATACCTGCTGCTGTGAAAGGCCATCGTGGTGCCATATCCTTGGCTTTTTGTTCCTGCCCTCTGCCACCTCCTCTGCACTGCTGAATGAGCTGTTACCGGGAGCACTTCCTGAACTTTTATCTGTGTAAGATGTAGGTCTCTTATTCTATCAAATTGAAGCATCTATTGGGAGACTTGGAGGAGCAATTTAACTGGCAGATGGAGGAAATGGTGACTGGAAGTGAGATCAGTGACTTCTTTAGTGCAGCTGAATCTGGAAAAGGCTGTTGGTGTGCAGCTGGTGAGTGAGGTTCAAGCTAATTCGAGTCTTCTGCCAACAGCAGATTGAGGAGTGTTCTCACAGTCCTTTCTCCTGTCAGAGCTTTGGGCATCAAAACCTCCTGCTGGTGCTGAGAAGCTGGGAGCAGTTGCATCATTGACCAGTGCTGGATCCACAGGCAGATTTCCATCTGTTTTCATGTTCTAAGTGAACTCGGAAGAATTTGGTATGTTCTTGTGGAGATACAGCGGGAGTTTTGAGAGGCATTGGAAATTTGCTGGCTTAGATCAAATATTGAGGTTTTGTACCCTAATGAGGCAGTAGCAAAATGAATAAATCAGTTTGTGGAGAATTCTTGTTCATGTTATCACAGCATGATTTGAAGCATTTCAACAGAAGGTATAGAAAAAAGCCTTTTTCCTTTAAAGCATTGTTAATCCCTTGATCTTTTGGATGAAGAGCTCCATTTCAGGTTCAGTGTGCTCTGTAGGTGTTTAAACAGAGTACAACTTGCTGCTAGGATTAGAATCCTTTTCTCCCTTTCTTTTGTAATCCACTAAATCTATTCCATAACTTAAAGCGGGAATCGAGCACTCACCAGTTTGTCTCCCTTCAGATGTGGCTGGATTGGTTAGCAAAGCTACACACATTGGCACTACTTAGACTCAAAATAAAACCTGGTTTGCCTTTTTCAGTTGATGGGTGCTTATCCTTCTTCCACTTGGGAAGTCAGACTATTTCTGATCAAGAACTTTTGCCTAATGGCTTTCTAAGGTAAAACCAAGGGAAACTGAATAATTTTCTTGTGTTAGTGGTTGTTACATATGCTTTAGTGGCAGAAACTGGTAAAATGACAATTAGATAGTCCAGGTATCTGCTGATAGTATTTTTACTGTTAGAATTGACAGTAATTAGTCCTTAATTTTTACTTGTAATGGA